TTTTTGTGAACATTTAATAAATATTGTGTTTAGTCTTATTTTCTTATTTAATAAATTTTTTTAAGAGTTAATATTAAAATAGAATTTAATTGATTATTAATTACTATTAAATAAAATTGATTTTATTTCAAAACATATTATTTTTTCCAATAGTGTATTTTTTTTACTTTAAACTTTAATTTAATTAATTACTAACTGAGCTGAATTTTAATATTTAGATTATATTTAATATTTGAAAAATATACTTACTTTGGCATGTAAACCAACAGTGATAACATATGCTCTTACAATGCACTTTTTTTGTACTCTACAATTATATGCCCTTAACGGTATGAACAAGTATAAGTACAAACAAAGTCTAAACTGATTACAATTAATGCAAATCTATTATTATAATTTAATCCTTTTGTGTCTAAATATAATCCACATATTATCTCAAAGATCATTTGATTCCTATTTACATGATTTACAAACATATGTGTAATTCTTATAAAATAGATTATATAATATTTATCACAAAATATGTAATTCTGGGCACAAGTACCTGGAATACAATAAAGAAAACAATGTCTATACCTTAACCGTTTTATCAGAGTGTTGTATATCTACTGTACATAGTATATTTACTGTAGTCCTAATTGGACTTTGCATTGATCGGTGTTTCTATCAATTGTGTTAAAGATTTTGAAAACGGATTAACCCATTGATTACCATTTAAAAAACTTCTGTATATAAGCGCTCGTATTCTCAACACAAGAATCACTCAAGAATTTGACAATAAATTCATAAAATATTAAAATTGTTTTATTGAAACATTGATTTGTTTTAGAAAACTATTAAAAATGAAATTTTTAGTCTTCGGAGTCCTATTCCTAACCGCACTCTACGGTTTGTCCTATTAATTATGACTATAATAAAAGTTTTTAATATTTATTCATATATTTCTAGCTTCGGATGCATTCACTATAAGCCGGACTAATGACGACCCCATAAAGGATGCGTTGTTGAAGGAGGTGTCGGACATCTTGGATGAGACGCGTAAAGCAATCGACACGTTGGCGAAGAGTGGAAAGGATGAGCTCAGGAAAGGACTCACGAAAGCCATTGAAGTCACGAAGAATTTGGACACTCAGCTCAAGACATTACATCCAACCACTGATTTGGGGAAAGTCTTGTTCAACGGCGTCGACACTCTAGCGATTGAGGCAGAGGCGTGGCTCGAGGCCGAGCTTAAGAAGGTTCCCCCGCAGGAGGCGGAGAGTGTGGCCAACGATGATATCAAGGACATAGTCCTCAAACAAGTCGGTCAGCTCTTAGACGACGCGCGCAAAGCCATCGACACTCTGAAGGCCTCCGGAAAGGATGCGCTCATCAATGGTCTCAAGAAAACTATTGCTTTAGTTCAGGACATTGAGAAACAGTTGGCAGACCTGCACCCGACCACTGA